TTCTTTAAAAGGAGTGAGTTGTGTACAGGACAAGAAAAAATTGCACTAGAACCAACTTATTCATCATCATCATCTTCCTCCTCCTTCTTTTTCTTTTTTTCAGCCTTGACAACTGCCTTTTTCGCTGCACCTGGCGTTCCTTTAGCTCGGTGTGCAGTAATATCCTCTTCCTATCTTTCCTTCAGCTGAGCAGCCTTCTTTTCATAAAAGTCACCTGCAGCAGTGTTGTTCCACATCTCTCCCAGTTTCTTTGCAACATCGCCAATGGATAGACCAGGATGTTCTCCTTTGATTTTTGCGTGATACTCAGAACAAGAAAAAGGCCGAAGGAGGCTTCTTGAGTGCATTGGGAACCTTGGACGTTTTTATTACCCTTTTAGAAGGTGTGGTGGTTTGAATTATGTCCCCCCAAAACTCACTGAAGCTTGAATTGTGTCCCCCAAGTTTTATGTATTAGAAACTTAGCCCCCTCTGTGACTGTTAAGAGGGTGGGAAATCCTATTGTGGTAACTGAAAGGTGGAAACTTGAAGAGGTGATTGTATTGTAGGACCATGCTGTAGTGAATGAATTAAAAATGGTGGTCAGGGGTATGGTTCTGAGAGCTTTCAAAGAAGAGGAGAGTTTCTTTTTCTTGCTCTCTCTGCTTTCTCTGCTTCTACCATCTTGCAATGTGAGACTCTTCAGTCACTGTAGCTGCCACCAGATGGACTTTGGACTTCCCAGCTTCAGAAACTGTAAGCAATAAATTTCATTTTTCTTTAAAAAATACCTGTATTTTGTTATAAGCAACAGAAATGGACTAATATAGAAGAGATATAGGTTTTCATTTCTCTTTCATAACAGGCGTTGTCTGCTTTTACCATGTCTTTGAATTTTCCTTTCTCTTTAGCAGACATGGTCTCCAACTCTCTGAGAAAACTCTGAGAAGCTGACTGAAGCATCTGGTGCTCCTTCCTGTGCTCATCCTGACACGTGTGCACAAAGAATACATATGATGACATTTTACTTCTTCGGTTCCTCAGCGAGGCACGGAGTCACCCATGCCTGCTGGCTCTCACTTGGCCTGGCGCCATCTCCATGGAGCACAATGTACTGCAATGGCTGTCCAGTCTCCTTTTTAGAGACACTTATATTTGGAAGCTTCTCAGGGCTTACTTGTGGACCTTCCTCTCTTGTTACATTTTCTTTGGTGATCCCATCTATTCTTATTGTTTTAAACACTATCTATATTGATGACTCCCCAATTTTTTTGTTTTTTTGTGCCTGGTTGTTATGGGGATCTGAACCCATGACCTTGGTGTTTATAAGGTTGGGCTCTGAGCTAACCGCCAACCCTCAGGTTATCATGTCTAGATCAGAGCTGTCCCCTGTGTTCTAACTGCCCATTTGATATCTCTAGTTGGACAATGAGGACTTTCTAATTCTACAGGTTTTAGCTCAAATTTTACATCATTAAAGAGGCTTCCTGACCACTCTAAAATAGCCACCCTCTTCCCTCTCTCCAGTTACTCTCCATTATATTTCCCTGTTTGTTTCCTTTGTAGCATTTATTCTAGCCATTTAACTTTATTTGCTTATTTTTTATCTACCTCCTCCATTAGATTATACTCTCACTTATTGAACTTTCACTATTTACCATACATTGTTCTAAGCACTTTATAAGTCCTATGATCTAATTTGCTTTTTGACTAACCATATTTATTGAAAGCTTAAAAAAAAAAGGCAACCTCACACTGTTACTTCTATTTTGATGGAATTAAAAGAAGCCAGTGTTAGTAAACTGATCTATTTTGGATTTGGGGTTTTTGGCAGCTGGCTGGTACAGGGATTGAACCCTGCACCTTACTGTTACCAGCACCATACTCTAATCAACTGAGCTAACTAACCAGCCTAGTAAACTTCTTTTCTTTTTTTTTTTTCTTAAGATGACCGGTAAGGGGATCTTTACCCTTGACTTGGTGTTGTCAGCACCATGCTCACCCAGTGAGCAAACCGGCCCTCCCTATATGGGATCCGAACCCGTGGCCTTGGTGTTATCAGCACCGCACTCTCCCGAGTGAGCCACAGGCCGGCCCTAAACTTATTTTCAATCTTACAGTTCCATAAGAAATTCCAATATGGTTCAGTTTAGTAACAAGTACTATCACTTTCATATACTTAATATTTACATTTGTTTAAATGTACCCTCAACACTTAGGTTTCTTTTTTTTTTTTTCCTTTTTGTCTTTTTTCGTGACCGGCAACGGATCGCAACCCTCAGTGTCACGCCCGTACCGGGACCGGCCACGGGATCGCAACCCTCGGTGTTGCTCCCGCCCCTCGCTCAGCCAGTGAGCGGCCGGTCTGTATGTGGGATCCGAACCCTCGGCGGGAGCGCCACCGCGCTTCCCAATCAGCGCACTATAGCAGTGCGCCACCAGGCCGGCCCAACACTTAGGTTTCTTATTGAAGTGTCACATCTCAACACTTTTTCAAAACTGTTAAATAGAGTGACAGAAGGAAAGTCGTTTTAAAAATTTCCACCAGAGATATATCATGAGAGGTGGATGATTAAGGAAACAGATAGCTTAAACAAGCTGGATATATTCAAGGAACAGTGCTCCCAGATTCCTGAGGTCAGGGGCAAAAGGCGTGGTTAGAGCTGGTTTGCCTCACATGATGCCTCTTGGTTTTTCTTAAACTCGGGGTCTGTACTGCCCTGTAATTGTAGTCTCTTTCCCTTTGCTTTCTTCTGTGAAGCAGCCACATTATAGCTAGGTTTTAAGTATAGTTTCATGTAAGTCTATATATATAAATACATATATTTTTAAATATAGTACAGTTCTGTCAAATGGAGTAGGCAAAAAAAATGGACATTTTTGAGAATTGTCTTAAATGATGAAATATCTAGACAAACACTTAAAAGCCTAATGCAATGTATTTTCAGAAAACAAGAAGTTTGAATTATTATCAAAATGCAAAAACTATGGCCTCTTCAGAGCAATGTGTTTCTTCAAGTTAGAGACTGCAATCATATCTCCACATCAGAAGGCTTTTGGTGGCTAGCTTGATATCTTTCTTCAAAACGAAAATGATTGGCAGCACATTCAGTCTGTGTAAAAGCTTACATAAAGGCAGTGGGTTATAGCAGAAAGAACTTTGTTTTTTTACATATAGTCTTAAGTAGAATATTAGTATTCCTACATACTAATTTTGTGATCTTGAGTAAACTAATCCTATAATTCAATTTCTATTAAATGGGGACCTTTAATACCTACCCTACAGGATTATTGTGATTATTAATTAAAATAACAAATGTAAAATGGCAAATGCTCAGTAAAAATGCCCTCCACCCTCTTTTGATCCCTGTATTCTCATGGTTTCCTTTAAACACCTGGTGAAAGGCAAAGGTTGACTTGATTTCGGATGAGGATTTACAGAGAGGTAAAGCTTAAGGTAGTAAGAAAAAACGAGAAAAGGAAACTTCGAATGTGGGTGTCTACCACTAGCGTGGTGTTTTGGGGCGGTTTTCTCATAATTGTTTACCAATGGCACAGAATAGCAATATTTATCTTTCTCTTGTACTACCCTTTAAATAAATTTAAGTGATGGGGTTTTGAACATAAACACTTTTTAAATACAGGAAGCGCCAACACTCAGTTTGGAAGGGTAATTTGCATGCTAAGAATAAATAGGAAATAAAACAATAAATAGAGGCAAAATGAGCAAAGGGTGAATAAAAGGGAAACGGAGAGCCTCAAGAATTTGAGGTTGGTAACAGCTCATTTTGTGGGCTTGGATACCGGGTGGGGCGCCGCATTGTCAAGCAAGAATCAAGACCAGTTTTACACCTTTCTTTGGCTCCGGACCAGCCAAAAAACACCTGTACGAACACCCAGTACGATCTTGTTGGCAGACCCTAGCACTGTTTCAACAAAAATCGGAGGCCAAAAGCACAATTTCAGCAATTTAGGAGGAAATAAATAAATAATGTAGACAAGCCGATACCCGTTTGAAGAAGTCGACTTGGTTCCGCATTCAGAAGAAATGACAAGACTAGCCTTTTTTTTTTTTTTTTTTTTTTTTTTTAAACAAACGTGTGATTTCATTCGATACCTCAGGGAGGTCATTCCGTTTTACTTTTTAAAACTTGCTAGCTAGAACAGTGTACTCTCTAAGAACCATACGGGAAAAGCCTTTTTGATTCTTTTTAGGCTGTTTTTACGTCGAACGCCTAAAACTGCTTCTGGAAAAGTCCCCACAAGACTTTTCGCAGTCTTTCAGGGCACTCCTAAATCTAGACCCATTCCTAACTAACTTCTACCTTTCTCATCAGCCATATTCTTTAGTTTCCCCAGTTTCCAATTTCCTAAATCTTCAACCTCTCCCTTCGAGTCAGTCCAACCAAACTTCCCCTTCTTAAACCTCTTCGTTACGTTCTCACCAAGAAACTCCCAAGAGAATCACGTGCCAAAGTTGTCCTTAATGGCGCGCCGTAATTCTACTATTCCTTCACCCTTCCTCGCCTCCTGTTAGCTCCTCCCCGCCCCATTTTCTCTCCCCCCTCCCCGCCTCCGCCCCGCGAAGTGCCTGCGCCTGCGCATCTCCAATTCAGGCGCTTTCCCTTTCCTGGCGACCAATCCACTTCCTGCCTCCGGTCCTTGGGCCACTCCTCCCCTCTGCTGGGGCCCTGGCTTGAGGGGCTGGTAGTAAGTAGTTGCCTTATTAATTGCCTGTCTGAAAAAAAAATTCGTTTCTCTCACCAAGTAGGGAATTTGGACGAGCCACTAAGCGTGCGGTATCTCTATGGGCCTTTGCTCTGGATCCGTCACCCCAGAGCCAAGCTGAAGGCATCGGCATAATGGGGGACGAGCGAATCGGACTGTTTTCGATCTGGCAGTCGCGCGGACAGCTTCTTCCTTTCCACCTCCCTCCGCCCCGCCCCCACTCGCGGCCTGGCCACCCTGGTGAGTGGCGGGCGGGCGGGCCGGCGGGCGGAGGGAGGAGGGGGAGCTGAGGGAAGGCGGGCCCTCGGCTGCGAGATAGTTGGGGGGAGGGGCGGGAAGAGCCCGAGCGCTGGAGTTGGTGCTGGGAAACCCGGGGCTAATGTTGACAACAGGCTCGAGGTGAGTCCCGGGGAGCCTCCTTCCCCTCAGCTCCAACGATCGGGAGGAAGCAGGGCTGGGGGATACCGGCCTGGACTCCTACTCCCTGGGGGACCCAAGAGGCGACTCCGCACCCCCGCTCTCCGGGGGCGGCTAACAGGGGAGGGACTGCGGGTCCGGCATCGTCCTCCTCAGACTCTTCTCCCGGAGGCTCCCATCAACGCGGGAGCCCCTGGGCCGGGGCAGGCATGAGGGGCGGTGGAGGAGGTGCCTGCCCCGCACGCCCGGGCCGGGCCTCGGGGCTAGAGGCGCGGAGCTTGCCGTAGGGGGGATGAAGGTGTTTGGGGGCGTGGAGTGGAGCGAGGGGAGGTTGGGGAAACCTCTTCGGGAGACCGGAGGAAAGCGAGGGCGAGGAAGTGGGGAGGGTGCGTGTGTGGGAGGATGTGGAGTAGACCAGCCAGAGAGTCTTCTGTGCTGAGGGAGTGTGGGGCGAGAAGTTAGGGTTGGGGCAAGGATGGTCCTCGAAGGTGACCGTGGATACCCGTAGGAAGGGGAGCTGTGGTGGGGAAACGTGTTAGCTGTAGCAGTGTGGAGCCAGAGCAGGGATTTGTGGGAGATGCGTGTGTAGGGGAAGGGGTTTGTGTGTGTCTGGGGATGGTGGGCATGGGCTGTCTGTTTTACTTCCGTTTAATCACATAGGTTGGTTCTTTTTGCCTTCACCTTAGGGCTCCAAGTATTCTTGCTAGTACTGTTGAACTAAAGGAAGGTGATCACAGGATATTCGGTCTCCAGGTGGGCAAAGCAGAGCCAGCTTACAGGCTTGGGGGATACACTCTGGAGTGCCCGGACCTTCAGTTCTCTTGCTCTTATAAACACGTAGTGATGCGTTAGACCAAAGTGAAACTCTCACTGACTCTTCTCATTCATCACAGTTTGTAGGTGTTCATAAAAATCGTACGACTCATCATGTTTGAGCTCTGGGGAAATTCTAAAAATTTTGAATGAGTTCTTTATACTAAGGATGTTCTTTAAAGAATAAAGTCAAAGACTGGGAGATAATGCCCCTGTGTTGTTCTGCCCTTAGACCATTTTGGGTAACACAGAATTAAAAGGTAAAACAGCATTTTCTCACTGTAGTATTTTCAGAGCAATCTCATTGTGATTTCACACATAATCCATATGGTTCTTTGCAGAGGAATATCTTTAAAAGGAAAACACCCTCTTTCTCAGTTTTCTCTCCCCCAGTACTCCATTGGTACCGGTTTTATTAGTAAAGAAGTTTTACTTTCTTTTAGAAGTTCAGAGTATATTTAGAAAACCAAGTAAAATATACAGCCCAAGTGCCAGGACACTATTTTGGGAGCTGGGAAGGTGGGGTTTTTTTTTGTTTGTTTGTTTTTTCCTTTTTTCCTTTTTTTTTTTTTTTTTTACTGATTGGTAACGGGATCACAACGCTCAGCGTCGCGCCCGCACCGCGCTCAGCCAGTGAGCAGGAACCGGTCTTCACATGGGATCCGAACCCTCGGCGGGAGCGCCGCCGCGCTCGCAAGCGGCGCACTCTCCAGTGCACCACCAGGCCGGCCCTAGGAAGGTGGTTTTAAAGCATGGTTTCCTTTTAAGGGCCGTCTGAATAAAATTGTACTCAGTAAAATAATTTGTAAGAGCTAATCACATACCGGTGTAAAGATCACTAATTTTTTTTTTTGGCGGTTGGTGGATATGGGGAGTCACTAATTTTTATCTTGAGATAGAATCTGTTTACTTTTTACTTGAAAAAACTTTTGGAAACACTTTATTTTTATTTTTCTATTGTTGGTGACTGGCCAGTACAGGGAAGGAAACACTTCAGATGAAAGATTTGGTTGTTTATTAAAGCTTGAATTTATTAAAATAAGAATTTTAGCATTTTGTTAAATATGATTTAATGCTCAGTTTAATTTTTTAAATTGTTATAGTAAAGTGCATACAGATCTTAATCATGTCGTTTGTATATTTTATCTGGTTTTTAGAATCTTAAGAGTTGGGTAGGGGCCGGCCCGGTGGCGCACTCGGTAGAGTGTGGTGCTTGGGAGCGTGGTGGCGCTCCCGCTGAGGGTTCGGATCCCATATAGAGACCGGTCCGCTCACTGGTTGAGCGCGGT